AGTTTAGCACTATGCTTTAAATAAATTTTGCAACCCACGTAAAAGAAAATGAAGCTTAAGACCGACGTCAGAAATTAAGAATGGGAGGAACAACAAAAGGTGAGAGAGGCATAAACATCACGCGATTACTTATTGCATAAATAAAAGAGAGTATAAACTGAAGTCTAAACCACACTTAGGAGAACTGCTATGTGAGAAGAGAAATCACTTACGTATAATGTAGAGTTCAATTTTCCAATTGTGAACAGGTCGATTTATATGTGGAATACGCACAGTAGGATCACCATATGTTATCTGCAAACGGTTAGAGCAGTAAAATAAATTTTTTGATGACAAGCTGATGTAGAACATACAGCAAACTAAAGATTACCAACATATAAACTCCTCCAGGTTTAAGAAGCCTACAAGTGACAAATGACAAAAGGAAACAAAAAATAATTAAGGTACTGAACAGACTAGGTGTGCAAAGAAAAGGAAAATGTTAATGTAAAAACTACAACAAACCCACAAAGATATAAAATGTCAATAAAATCCTATAACCTGCTTACTTCCCCCAACATTTGAGAAGCACTAATCGGAGCATCAGTGCCACACTTGAGAGAGTCATAGAAAGAAAATAGAGAAGAGAAAAAGCAGTTAGACAGCAGAATAAGATAAAATAAATTGAGAAAGAAATATGAATATATAACTCACCATCAATGAATCAAGGGTGCCTATTACCCAAATCAGCAGGTCATGCACTTATACAAGATAACTATGTTATGATATTTGCATCACATGAATCGAAATTACAATGTAGAAAAAAAAATAACAAAGAAAAAAGAAAAAAAAAAAAGAAGGAAAGGAAACTCAACTTACCTTTATCAATAATGCCATCAAATGAATCATCTGGGAAGAAACTCATGTCCCTAACATCCATTTGCATGTCTGGATAACTTTGTAAGGATTTCTAGGTCTAAATGTTCTAATAATATTCATATCCGAACTAAAAGAAAATTAAAGGACACATTTAAACACAAGAAAGAGGACATTTGATGGTGCCTGACAGAAAAAGCATGGACCGACGAGCCCTTGAAAATTCTACAACAAAGAACTAGTCATTTCCGCAAGGATACACTTCAATTGAGGTATGTGCTTGTATTTCTTTTTCATCATCTCAATAGCCACAGATGATATGTCAATGTTCATTATATCTTCAAAACCGTCTTTAACCATGTCTTCGGAGATAACTAGCAAGCAAATTACATACCATCATTTTAGCAAAGTAATACAACACAAAACTACTTTACATCATGCATGTGTACATATAGCAACAAGCTGCATAAAATGGTCATAAAGATATATTATTGACAGACTGACCCATCAGCTTGTAGACGTTTCATTTGTACCGTTTGTAAAGCAGTGTAGGCATCAGAAAGATATTTATTAAGTTAGGGGTAATCATGGATTACCCCAGTTACAGACGGACACTGGTAAAAAAGAAAACCATCAGAGATAAAAGGGGCAAAAAGGAAAAAAAGATAACATTACACACACAAATCAACCTGTTTCAAGAGTACAGATCATGGAAACCTAATCCAATACAGGGCAAAAGGCTTATATTTTCTTCTTTCATCCAAATAATTAAATCTGACTCCAATGAAAATTAAAAAGGAAAATACACACACACACACACACACACACACATATATATATATATCATTGAGGGAAAAGAGCACACTAAAGCCCTCACCAAAAGAAAGGCATGGGTTATTACTTAGCACACCCCAGTTCTATCTAATCAGTTCCATATTTTCCAACAGCTGTAACACCAACACTGAACTAATTTCACGAGATCGAAAAAATAACATTTTTTCTCAACAAAATGAAACCGGAAAAGAAAATTCCAGCAAGAGACTTACCGGCATTTCCACAGCCAACCATGAGCACGCGCGAAATCGGAGAAATATACTTCCGAATAAAGGGGCGGAGGGCCGAATAACGCTGGTACCAATCGAAGGAACCACAATTGGCTTCCTGCAAGTAGCGGGCGTCCCAATAGAGGGCGTCCCCGTAGTTGTAGCTGTTGCACGCCGACACGTCCCTGAACATGGCGATGACGGCGGAGGAGAGCGGCGGTCTGGGGGTTTCTCGTTGGCCGGTGCTGGTGGTTCTGACTTCTGAGTTGAGGAATTTTTGAGGAGTCCAAGTCTAGGCTTTGTCTTGGTCTGCAGGGAATAGATGGATAGCTTAGAGACGATTGGAGGTACAAGTGTTGGAGCGTGAAGTACAGTCTCAGAGAATTCTGGTTTGTTCTGACTGAGTCATTGAGTTTTTACTGATTCGGATTGGTGATCTTGTATCAGAAATTTTGTGGAAGAACCCGCGCTAACGGCCTTGGTTCGAACACGATAAAATATATTAACCCACACTGACAATCTTGATTTATACATTATTAAGTGAAATACCTACATTATCGATCTATCTGCCTCGATTTTTCACGAAAAAATGACTCGGAAACGAGCTTCTTTCTTAATTTTTATTACTTTAAACTTCATTCCAAACATGCATTCGAAGTCCTATTTATAATATACACACACAACATTCAAATTTAAATATTCAAACTTACAACTAACTAACTAACATATTTAAAATTTAAAAAGAAACTAACATTATAATTATATCTAAATACATAACTAAAATTAACTACTCCCTCTCATATTCTTCATCGAGCCCGAATGCTCGGTTCGCATCAGTCGGATTCGACTCTAGTCTTTGATGCAACTGTTTTGGGGTGGACTACAAATGAATTGGGTTTTCACCACATTGTGAGTGAATGAATTGGGTTACATGGTGAAAGCCCTATAGATGTCATCGAAAATTACCTCTTTCATTATCAAGATTAATTTTATTTACACATATACTAACTCTAATTATTATTTGTAACCATACAAACCCTTTAATTTTATTTGCAATTATACTATTATTCTTTATCTCCTTCTTTTCCCGCCACTTCCCCTTCGCCCCTCCTTCCATTTCTCCCCGTCCCCATCTCTTTTTTCCCCTGTCGCGGTTTTGACATATAAGATTGTATCCTGGCCAATATCATCCTATCGTCAACTTTCAGCGATACACACGCATCATTTCTTATTTCTCTCTTTGTGTTTCCCAAACATATCATTAAACACAATAATGGAAGAACATGGTCTCGCAAGCGTCGGCCATCATCGCCACCAATGTAATTCCGCCGTCGGATTGATTTCTCATTAAATCGAGACTGTAATTCTCTTGTGGACCCTTCTAGTTCCAGCCCTAGCTCGATCCGACCCGCGTCGTACCAAGCCATACCCCCGGCCACCACGACATCGTGGCCGCCGTGAACGACCATAGCCCGAGATCCAAATCTGGATAGGGATTCAATTCCCGGCCTATCTTCAACCACATGACCTCCACTTAGGCCTGCCTATTCTTCCTCATCCACCTCCCCCGCGAGGTCTCCGGCTATGATAATGATTTCTTAGCATCCACGTATAGTGAATCTCGGCGTCCGATTTTGGTTAATGATGTCTTAGTCTATGGTTTTCTTTTTTTCATGTGTTTGATTTGTTTATGTTTTGGAATATTTGAATGTTTATTTGACGTTTATTAACAGTTTATGTTCGATATATATATATATAAAAGAAGTAGCCTTGTAAGGGAGATATGATAATATAAAATTGTTATAAACTATAAGTAAACTAAACA